ACCAGAAAAGTGTTCCCAAAATAAATAGTTTAACCTGTTTATTTGTATTCGCGCAATTTCATAGCCCACTTTTCCACACACCTCGTTTATCATATAGCTCACAGAGATTTATAAATAGCCCACATTGCATAAACATAAATTGTATACTTGTACAGCTCTTGGAACATTGCAGCCCCAAGCTCTCCATAATGCATATAAAAGATTAATAGTAATAGCAGCTTTTTCAGAGGGAGTCATGCTGAATAAACTGCCCCAGACAGTGCTGGTGCTAGTCCATTGGGGACCACAAGTAGGAATATTCTGGGGGGGGGGGGCCACACAACAATAAGTGAATAGGGGGCCTCTTGAGCTGCATAAACCCTAAGCAATTGCTTAGTCTGCTTATGCTTAGCACAAGCTTTGGCCCCAGATCACAATGTACCTGTTACGTGCACATTCTACTGAGGTCTCCAAAACAGCAGCAGAAAGACTTCATTGAACAGACTGGCTGCCACCCTAAGGACTTAGAAGCATGTCAAAAAATTTTTAATTTTTAATGAGCACATGTGCTGCTAAACTGAGTTACGGTAACTCATCTAACACTTTGATGGAGAATTACCAATGGTTATTTTCTCTGGAGTTGACTTAGGTATAGTAAAGGTATAAGGGAATGAGACAATATTTATTTGATCTCAAGATAGTTTAATATGTAGTGATTCACTGGGTTTAATTTAATTAGCACTGTGGATGCTAACTACATTTCTCAGTATTTCAGAGAATGTTCTACTAATTTCAATAATACAGCACATAGGATAGCATAACAACTATGATGAATATACAAATAGTTTCAATCTTCAGGAAATTCTCCCGGGGATAGTTCCTGTAGGATAGTGGGGAAACTGTCTAATTGGGTGTCTGATTTGCAGGTATAGACTGTTACATGTTTCTTAGGAAAATTAATCCCTGGTTTTAGTTGGCTGAATTATTTAATTGTATCATCAGAAACTTTCTTCTCTAGGAGCTAAATTCACCTTGCGAGTTCTATTCAGTTACACCATTAACACTGATGACCTCTTTGTGACAGAAGTAAAATTAGCCCCTGGTGTTTGTTTTGTTAATCCAATTCTTCAAATCTCTGAATATTCACACATTTCCACACGGTGGTACTGGTAGGCAGTAACTATTCATTCTGTGCTGTCCATATAACTTGTCAATATTTTAGGAATTGTGTGTTCATTACGTTACATTCAAGTATCTCAGAGAATTTGTAGGAAATGTTGGATAGAAGGAGCCATGGTAGTCTTATTTTTAGCATATTATGCTAGAAGTCCAGCTACCCAGTGATCCAGTTTACCTAGCGGTATTTAAAATTTAGGCAGAATGGCCCTATACTCATTCATACAGAGTGAAATGCTGTACATATTGATAAAGAAAACTGTTAATTTTAATTCTATTAAATATAAAATCACCTTGATAAAAATATTCAATAAAGGAAAAGAAAAAAAATTATAGTTTGAAATACAACTTTAATTTTAAAAAATCAATATGCTGTGTACAATGTTTTGTTACAAGATTATCAGCTTGATTTGTTTTGTACTTATTGACTGAACAAAATGATATTTTGAATTAAGAATAATATTGATTCAAAGTTATTTATAAATGATCAAAATGATAGCTGAATATCACTAATGTCAGTAATTAGTTAGAACTGTTGGTCAGCAAAGAAAAATACAGTTAAAACAGATATATGGAAACTGGTACTGTAATTGAGTATTATGTCATATCAAGTAGGCCTAACTAAAAGGAACGCTTGAAAGCATTTTTTTTTTTTTCAAATGTCATCAGCTTTGTACACTTAGTGTTTCATAATCTAGAAACACAGCAGCTTGGCACAACAATTAATGGAATGCATTATCAAATTGCTCTCCTCAGAAGGGCAATAGAAATGGCAGCTAGAGAACTATCCACAATCATTACAGGGTTTCTAAATGGATATCCAGTAACAATCAGTTTCCTCTCTTGTTCTCTTTCCTAGATGAACCACACAAGCATTGTAGGATGTTTATTTACAAGCACCAAGAATTTTCTGCTGTGCATTTTTGTCCATAACTACTACTATTTGTTTCTCTTTATTGTTAGAGACCCAGATCCAACTCCCATTTTGTCAAAAATTTCCATTGACTTCAATGGAAGTTTGACTGAGCACATAACTACTGTATGTCAAGTGCTCCTCACACATAATAATGCTGTGAGAAGAAATCCACCTTGTTACCAGCTGCTTGAGAAAACAGAACTTGTGTACCTGTCGTAAACAAACAGATCTAAAAATTTTATTAAGCTAATGTTTAAAAAATATATATAATACATAGGTTGGGAAAAGAGTGTTTGTACATCTGGGTATAGTGCTTAGATTCTCCACAAATATAAAATTTGTTTTTAAAGTCATATGATACATAGAGTACATAATCAGCAATAACCCAAATTTAGGTGAATAGATTTAACAATACAGTTTAGATATTAGAATCCGAATACTTGGGTACATCACTCATGAAAAGTTGTACAGAGATTTGGTTGTGGAAAGCAAAATATATCAATGAGTGGAGACTGTCACTCAGTAATGGAGAATTAAGTTGGTTGTCCATTTAGAAAATGCAATCCATGAAGGAAAGTGTTTGTTACTTTCCTGACTGTGCTTCTCATCAGCACTCCAGCTCATCCCTCCTGGTATTGCAGATGTCCAGTAATGTGTTCTTTGTAGATGTCCCTCGACCACCTGATGGCGTCTGACACCATGAGTTGCCGCATCAGCCGAGTGTAGGGTTGACCGATTCTGCATTCTCACAGCACTTGCTCATTACTGGGGTCCCATGCACCTAAGGCTCCGACGATCAGTGCATTTGTCTGGACTTGGTAACCCTTAGCTCTCAAGGTTTTGGCCAGAAGGACATATTTCTCTACTTTTTGAGCTCGGGCATCGTGGAAGGCTAGGGTCCTGTTCTCAAATGGCACTGTGATATCCACCATGATGATCTTCTTCCAGTCTTTGTTGGTGATGACGATGTCCGGTAGCAGTTGGCTGTTGGTTCTGGAGATGACAGAGTTTATGGCAACCTTCCCCATGGGTGATGGGATGGCTGTGGCCAGGCGATTTTGGATGGTGTTTTGTCGCAGCTGAATTACACTAAGAAAATACCCTACTCTGCATCAGTGATTTCTGCTCCAAATGTAAAACTGACCTGCAAGATCTCAAAATTCTGTTTCCACCTGGCAAAGAAGCAATAGTAATTGCTCTTTGGTAATGTTATTAAATGTTGACATTTTAAGTGAACAATGTAGTTGGATGAGTTTAAGTGCCCACAGCATTAGCTAGAGCCGAGCATAAGGCAGACATGCTGTGCTAGCTTCCCCATACAATTCTGTCAACATAATCAGTGATGACTTGTGCTTCCAGTCCTGAGAAACTGTTGAGTAAACACTGATCATCATGTATGATTATACCAGTGGTCCCTAGTGTGTATTCCCTCCAGCCCCAAGCCACATATGAACCAGGTAGCTTCAATGGACATTTTAAAACAATTAAGCCTTAAAAAATCAGAACTTTGATCATAACAAAATAAAGCCAGACCAAAAAAAAATCTGATTAAAAACCACAAAATTCCTGAAGGATATAAATCCCTAAAGCCTGGTATATAAATATAACCATCAATTTTCCTCTGTAGCCAATTCCTTTATAGATGGCAATGTAAGAAAAAGTCTTACTTTCCCTGTATGTTTACATTCCCCTCTGCCTTACAGTTCAAAGCAGTGATGCCATACAGGCTCTAGTTTCAAACCAACATCTGGAACTTGAGTCTTGAAAGACATCCACAAAAAACAAAGGGTAGTGATTAGCCACCTTTATAACTCATAAGGCCAGATGTCAACTGGTGTAAATTGGCAAAGCTGCATTGAACTTAATGGAGCTACGCTGATTTATGTCAGCTGAGGGTCAGGCCCTGTTCACTCTCCGAGGCACTGAAATAGATTAGCCTCACCTTGGCATGGGAATTTCAATCAAGACTGTCTGAGACTTTGCATTGAACAATCCTAGAGGAAACAGTGAGAGAGCAACATTTACAGCCCCTGGAGGGAGAGAATTAGGAGTTTTATTCCTGAGGAAGTTCTCTCACTCTACGTTATGTGGAAACTCTTAATGGGAAATAAGCGTATGCTTGTGCTGTTCACAAACATGGAGACGAACATATCATATTTACAAACTACATTCAAATGTACAACTGATCCTGCTGTATCCTACCCAGGTTTGTGCCATAAGTATTTTGGATGTTTTTATTGTTAAATATCGATATGGCAAACAGACAATTCTTTTAGAATAGTAACAGTTCTCAACATGGAGCATGAGACCGTTCACAAGTAATAGGTACTTTGCAGATAAATATATTACAATCTGTACACTAAGGGCACAGTCCTGCAAACTTACAACTGTACAATCAGTGCTTACTCACACCAGTAATCCCATACTGGGCTGCACACTTGAATTAAGACTAATTACATGACTAACAATTTGCAATATCAGACCCAGAAGCATTACAAAAATTGTGAACAGTGGATTTTCAACTGCTGCATTTATTATACACTAGATCAGGGATCTCAAACTCAAATCACTACGAGGGCCACATGAGAACTAGTACATTGGCCCGAGGGCCGCATCACTGAAACCTTTTCATACAATGATACAAAAGTATAGTCAAAAATGAGAAAAATGAAGAGTAATATAGTATGCTATTAAAAGTCAATGTATTAACTTTTTTAAAACTGTAATGCGAAGAGGGGTTTTAATAAAATATAAACACTCAGTAATGCACCTCACTCAAATGACAAAACATGCATTTACTTTTAGAATTACTTCGGTTAAAGCCCCCCACTCTGTCCCCGGCTCTGCCCCCACTCCATACCTTCCATGAGGCCTCTTCCCACCCCACCCCCATTCCAACCCCTTCCCCAAATCCCTGCCCCAGCCCTGCCTCTTCTCCGCCTCCTCCCCTGAGCGTGCCATGTCCCCAGTCCTCCCCCCTCCCTCCTGGAAAGTCCAAACAGCTGTTTGGCAGCAGGAAGCACTGGGAGGTAGGTGGAGGAGTGGGGACACGGTGCGCTCAGAGGGTGGGGGGGGAGGAGAGGCGTGGGGGAGGGGAACTTGGCTGCCGGTGGAGTTGGCGCCTATAGTGGGCCACAGGAAATAATTCTGCAGGCCATATGTTTGAGACCCCTGCACTAGATCATTGCACTTTTTCTTACAATAACAAATATTTACTATGGAAATTAATTCCCACTAACATTTTCCTCCATTTTTTTCATATTTAAAGAACACGTAACCATGTATTACAAGTGCCTCGTCTCCTTTTACTGCATTAGGCAGGTGCTAGCCTTATCCGGGTCTTCTCCATCAAGCCTGATCCACTTCTTTTCAATTTCAACCTATGGTTAGAAAATATACATGTACAACATTAGCAAATGACTAGGTATTAGAAGCATGACCATGCACTACTGAAGTCAATGGGATTTTTAACATGGACTTCAGTGGGTGCAGAATCAAGCCCTAGAGGTAGAGGCCTGAAACACAGGACTCAAGATCCAATGAATTTCAAATCACCACACCCAAAATTTGTTTGGTAGGGAAATGGGAAGTTGGTTTATCAGGTCTGGTTTGGGCCCCATCTCTAAGAATCATGTGTTCAGATCAAGGATATTCTTTTATTAAATAATTACTGTGTTCAAAGCCATTAAGCCAACAAAAAAATGCATGCAAGCTCATATGCTTCAAAAGTAAATCACACATGCTAAGGGCCTGTCAAGATTCCTTCCCCACTCTGAACTCTATGGTACAGATGTGGGGACCTGCATGAAAGACCCCTAAGCTTATTCTTACCAGCTTAGGTTAAAAACTTCCCCAAGTTACAAACTTTGCCTTGTCCTTGAACAGTATGCTGCCTCCATCAAGCATTTTAAACAAAGAACAGGGAAAGAGACCACTTGGCGACGTCTTCCCCCAAAATATTCCCCCAAGCCCTACACCCCCTTTCGTGGGGAAGGCTTGATAAGAATCCTCACCAATTGGTACAGGTGACCACAGACCCAAACTCTTGGAGCTTAAGAACAATGAAAAATCAATCAGGTTCTTAAAAGAAGAATTTTAATTAAAGAAAAGGTAAAAGAATCACATCTGTAAAATCAGGAGGGTAAATACCTTACAGAGTAATCAGATTCAAAACACAGAGAATCCCTCTAGGCAAAACCTTAAGTTACAAAAAGACACAAAAACAGGAATATACATTCCCTCCGGCACAGCTTATTTTACCAGCCATTAAACAAAAGAAAATCTAATGCATTTTCTAGCTAGATTACTTACTAACTTAACAGGAGTTGAAAGGCTTGAATTTCTGATCTGTTCCCGGCAAAAGCATCACACAGACAGACAGAACCCTTTATCCCCAACCCCCTCCAGATTTGAAAGTATCTTGTCCCCTCATTGGTCATTCTGGGTCAGGTGCCAGTGAAGTTACCTTAGCTTCTTAACCATTTAGAGGTGAAAGAGTCTTGCCTCTGGCCAGGAGGGATTTTATAGCACTGTATACAGAAAGGTGGTTACCCTTCTCTTTATATTTATCCCAGGGTCTTACCAAAATCACTGTCCATTTTGGTCAATTTCATGTTTTTAGATGTTTACATCTGAAATTTCAGTTTTTTAATCGTGAGGGTCCTGAATGAAAATGCAGGCATGGAGGGGTCATAGGGTGAGCACGGGATTGCCACCCTCACTTCTGCACTGCCTTCAGAGCTGGGCAGCTGCAGAGCTTCCTGCAGCTGTGGAAGATAACCAGAGGTGGGTCTGATCTCCCCGCAAGAGTGGCCGTGCAGGGGAAGAGGAAGTCCTGTCCCTCCCCAGCCCATGAACTGGCAGCTGGAGCCTGGTGAATGGTAGGAGCACCTGGCTGGGGCACCCACCCTCTCCTTCCCCTCCAAAAACTACATTTCATGGGGGAGGTCTGATTTCACAGTCCATGGTGCGTTTTTCATGGCCGTGAATTTAGTAGAGCCCTACACATACTTTGTAAATGGTGTATTAGAACAAAAAGATTGCAAAAAGCAAAGAAGTGAAGAATACCTGGCAGTTGTAGCAAGTTTTCTGGTTCAAATGTTTCTGGGGCTGAACATCACACTCTATGCCCAGCGATTTTACTTCAGTCCCTGAGGCACATGCATCAAGCATGACAAACTGTACAGTTGCAAATGGATACCAGTCAGAAGGTATTTCCTGGTCTGATCCAAGTTCTAGTTTGTAAGACAGACTGTATGGATGATATGGGCCTTTGAAAGGAAAAATCACAGTTCATTATTTTCTCTCCATTTTTAATACATGGTTAATCTGTTAACTGGGTATGGTAGTGCTATCTTTTAGTAAACTGTAGTTATTACATAATGCAAGATTACTCTATCATCTGTCTAGCTATTTATAAAGTGCCTAATCACTTGGTATCTAGGCACAAGATTATACCGGTTATCATTTTCTGCCTATTTCAACACATTTCTATAGCAGTCATCATAGTTTTTTCAAATCAGTTTTCACAAAAGTCACCACATACATTGAGAGCTGGATGGACACCATAAACCTGGATTTAAATGATTACATTAGAATCTCAGCTTTCATTTTTAAAATAATTCAGTTTCTATCTCGTATGGGTGTGAAGAAAAGCTTGAAAATATGACCCAAGTGTAACCATGCTGTGCTGTCTGCCAACAGTCTGAAACAATAGCCCTCAGATGGATGAATTACCCCATGTATCTCAATGGAGTGTTAAACTCTGAGGCTTGGTCTACACTTAAAATTATATCAACATAGCTATGGCGCTCAGGGGTGGCCCTGAGCGCCATAGCTATGCCAACCTACTGCTCAGTGAGACATAGCTAGATCGAATGCTCCCAGTTGCTGGAGGACATGGAATTCCTACAGTGGCAGAAAAACACTTTCCATTGCTGTAGTCTGCATCTATGCTAAGAGTATACAGCAACATAGCTATGGTGCTGTCACTATGCTTCTGTAGTATCTATCGGGTAGACATGGCCCAAGACCCACTGCTCTGGGCAACTTGCCAACACTGCCCTAGCAGATTATAATGTGCGTGGCAGGAGGACAAGAGTGAAGTACAGAATGCCACCCGTCCAAGCAGGTACACCCCAACTGCTGAGATAAATGTGTGGGGACCTGCTGCTACCCTGGCCTCTCCAAGATGTGGGGGAGCTCCAAAAATCCAAAATTGGGGGAGGAGGAATCTCATGCCACCATCCCTGACTCTTTTCAATTGCATGGGGCCCCCAGCTGCTGCATGGGGGTAGAGCCATGGTGGGGAGGGGGCATGTGTTGCAGTATGCCCCAAATTGCCTTAATCTGGCTCTGGATCCTATAAATTCAGTTTTTTAAAATAACTTGGGAGAGGCAGGGGAGTTCATTTTTCCATCCATTGGCACACAAGCACTTCAGGGTGAGCAGCTAGATTTCCAAAGACATTGAAATCAACAAGTTTGCTTTGTGAGTTCAAGCAAAATATTGGAATGAAAAGAATCTTTTACATCACAGCTTCCTCTGCAAAGTCTTCAGAGCAAACTAGGTGGTAGTGCTGCCTTTTCTTCCTCCCCAGTGCTTGTTAAAGCACGTGCAGTGTCAGTATAGAGAGGAACTGTGTACTTTAACCACAGCTTGGCTTCAGGCTGGAAAGCATTGTTACAAAAAGGACTGACCATACTTTGTGAATGGGACTGTAGGTTTAGATTTCATCCATGACAGTGAATGACATGTCACCCTGCAGCATAGAAGTGCCTATTCTTTATGAATTTACATTTCTCAATGGCAACCACTAAACAGGGAGGATGAAATCAAATTTATGTGAAGGTAAAGAAAAAGATTATATGCTTAGCATTATTTGTCATGTGGATGTCATCAACACATAAAGCTTACATTCACAACATCATCAGCAATTCATAGGGTAAAAATGGACCTTTGAAGGAAAGGAGTCAAAGCAATTACCTACAGTATCAATGCATTGTGAGAAGGTAAATGAAAACTGATTTACCTATCTTAATAAAATAGGAGGAGGGGAAATAAAGTGACCTTTACTTTCTAAAAGTAACCACAGTCATCAGGAAACAGAGTTTCTCTCTTGTTAGTTCTGAATATCTAGTACTTGTATTAATCAGTTCTTACAACCTTAGACTGTCATATGGAGTATAGATATACTTAAATGTAACATTTTTAAAGTATTTCAGAAATATTTCAGATATCTTGAAGCCTTACTCAAGACCTTGTTGTTAACCAACTCTTATCCCAAATCTTTTATTGAGATCAGTAAGATCATTATCTATATTTATGACACTATAATTAAATCTCAGTCAGAACTTCCACTACGAGCCCATATTTTCAGGGTGTTTAGTTTGGTGTGAACACAATCCAGCATGAAATTTGGCATATAAAATAGGATTTTCAAAGGCACTCAGCACTGGCCTAACTCTGCACTCACTGAAGTCAATGGTAAAATTCCCAAGGAATTGAAAAGTCCACCCATAATGTCTCTAGCAAGCCGAACATCTTAAAATAATTTTTAGAAAATAACATGTATTTGACCAATTTGGATGGTCTGAAGGAGTCACATTTATCTATAAAGTATATACATGTATTTTTATTAAAACTACTTAGCTGCAAATTTCCCAAAAGAAAAATCTAGTTAAACCTACCGCTCCCTCATTTTAACTCCAGTTTGAAGTAAGAATATTAATTAAAATATTTCTTGTATATCTATTTTCCTTGCATATGCATATTAATTTTTGATACCACCATTCCTGAAGGCATTGTATGTCGGGGGGTGGGGGGTGTGGCAGGTATAACCTGGTCCTTTGGTGAATAAGGAGTTATCCTCAACTCAACTTGCCCATTCCCTCTTTAAGTGTTGTGGGGATGGGCTATTTATTGGCTGCTTGGGAGAGAAGAGGGGAAGGGGATGGGAAATGTCTTCTGGAAGATTGGGATGTACCATGAAGATCATGTGACTGAGCTGAATCCCAAATTGGGGAGGTTTCCCTTTGTTCTCCTCTCCTATGTCCCGTCCCCTACTTGGGTTAATTTATTTTGCTTTTTTGCTATAAAAATAATCTGTTAAGAAAAAATCCTGACTACAGACAGCTTTTCCCCCATGCTGATTCATTCCAATACACATAGAATCATAGAAGATTAGGGCTGGAAGAGACCTCAGGATGTCATCTAGTCCAACCTCCTGCTCCAAGCAGGACCAACCCCAATTACATGGAATGCAAAGACATCCTTGGGCCAAATGTTCAGAACTGCAGGTATGCAATCACACTGGTAGGGCATGTGCTCTCCTTGATTGTTTGTACCTTGTAAAATATACATTAATATTTTAAAGTGTTGTTTTATATGTAATCTTTTACTAAAAGGTATCTTTGCTCCCCTTGATATTGTGTTTGAATCCTTATTTGACTAAATGCACATGTAGCATAAACCAGGTTTAGATTATTAGATCTTGTCTAAGTGCAGAATTCTGAGGACTGCCATCCAGAAGCAGCACAAGAAATTCACTGCTAAGTCCACTCTCAAACTTTTCAGATTTCTTTTAATGAGATTTGTATCAAGGCAGATACCCATCAACCAACCAGATAATACATATAACTCTCTAATTCTTTCTTTGGTGTCTTGTTTAGGCATTCTTCCATTCATCTTGTTTGTATTTTTACTGTACAAAAGCACAGCTTTAATCCTTACCAAATACCATAACAAGATATTAGTTGTATAAATAGTGCAAGGGGGAAAAAAGTCTTGTATCTATAATTGTAGGTGCTAAACAAAAATACCTAGTTCCTAAAAATTTCTCTCTCTCTCAAAAAAAAATCAGACCAACAAAATAATGGGAGGAAATTTAAAGTATTACAAAAGACATCTATAATTTATATAACATTTTCTAATTAATTAATTAAGGGTCTAATTCTGCAGCACTTAATACTAAGTAGCACTTACCAACTTATCTACATGCTACTCAGTATGAAGAAGGCCTGCAATATCAAACATTTTAGGCCTGGTCTATACTTGATATATGGACAAGTAAAACTATTTTCGTTGTGTGATTTAGCAAAATAGTTATACTGATAAACTGGACACTGGTACCCCACCAGGAAAAACAATCATTTCTCCCCAGTCCATCAATACTCTCAATTCTCTCCACAAGCTTTCCACCTTACTGTCCATTCTTTCTTCTTAATCAGTTCCCTTCACCTTTGCATTCTATTATTTCCCTTCTTCCTCCTTCAGTTTCCATTCCCCCATACTCCCATCATATTTAATCTCTTGTTTGCTATTTAGATGTTAACTCCTGCCTCTGAACTGCCCAGCTCCCAATTCCCACTTGTTAAATTTTTGAGCTTTCTCCCATGCTGCCCTTTACACTTTGGAGGATCTCCCCATAAACACCCACAAAGCTATCTCATTATCATCTTTCAAAACCTTGCTTAAAACTCTCCATTGCCATGAAACCTATAAAAAACTTGACAATGGTTAGGCCACTAGTGTGCTGAGACTAATGCCTGTTTCGGGGGCCCTATCAAATTCACAGTCCATTTTGGTCAACTTCATGGCCAGAGAGTTTTTAAATTGGTCAATTTCACATTTTCAGGTTTTACATCTGAAATTTCAGTTTTTTAACCAGGGGGGTCCTGACCCAAAATGGAGGCGTGGGATTGCCACCCTCTGCTCTGCCTTCAGAGCTGGGAGGCTGCAGAGCTTCCTGCAACTAGGAGAGAGACCTGGAGGTGGGTCTGATCTCCACCGAAGAGCGGCTGTGCAGGGGAAGAGGAAGTCCTATCCCTACCCAGCCCAGCAAACTAGCAGCTGGAGCCCAGTGAATGGTAGCCCCGGGCTGGGGCACCCCCAGCCCTGCCCTCCAATAGCTATATTTCATGGGGGAGGTCTGATTTCACATTCCGTGACATGTTTTTCACAGCCATGAATTTGGTACGGCCCTACCTATCATAGTGGCCAATATTGTCTCCTTGTTCTCTCATGTCAGTCTTTATTCATCTGTTGTCTCTTGTTTTATACTTCGATTGTAAGCTCCTTGGGGCAGGAGCCATTTTTTGCTCTGTGTTTGTACAGCACCTACCACAACGGGGTCCTGGTCCATGACTAGGGCACTTAGGTGGTACAGTAATACAAATAATTAACAATAATTTCTATCCCTCCCTTTTATGTCTCTTTCCATCTTCAGTCCTTTCTCACAGCCTGACCTGAGCTGCTTCCTCATCACCCATAG